CCCAGCCCCTCGGCAGCCCAGGGCTCCCGGCTCCCACCTCCAGCTCCTGCCTCTGCTTTAACGAATTACTTCATGTAGCAAAAGAGTGAATGACCTGATACGTTTTTGGTTTTGTTTTTTTTCTGGAAAACAGCAGCCACAGTGCTCAGCCCAAAGTAAACTCTCAGCAAGTCGAACACATCTGATCAGTGAAGCGACAAAATCGCCCAAAACCTCAGGCCTGAGGGGGCCTGGCCGCCTGCCCCCCTCGCGGGGCCACGCAGTGCGACGCCCTCGGTTGGGCGCTTGGTGGTGGTGAGGTGGGGTGGGCCTGTATCCTCAGTCAGACCTGGGGGGTCTCTGCACCATCGCCCCCCATCCACATTGCCTGTGTCTTAAGCCACTTTTCTGGGAATTGAAAAGATACAACAACTCCAGGGACCTATGTTTTCTCCAGAAAATTTATACAGATACATAAATAGATCAGACGGGTCTTTATTTTTTTTCCTGATTTTCTTTTACATTACATGCCTGCCTGATATTTTGTAACTAACTTTTTGTCAACTTGTTTCATGACTGAATATCTTTAAAAATATTTACCACTGAATGCAGCAAATATTCTTCTGGTTTTTTTTCGGCCTCTGAATTTTGCGGAGTCTAATGGATGACTTTTGAATACTTGGAATAGCAGTAATTTCCATTACTTACCTGTCTGGAGACGTTCTCCGTGTTCACAGTACTGAATGTCAGTATAGTAGAGTGATACCTCGGGGTCAAACTGGACTCATGATGAATCCCACAAATTTAACTAGCAAGAACAAATGTGCCAGGTAAAAAGTCCATCAGTAGTACCAGACAGCAACTGACACCAGGCTGTCACCAGGGACAGAGCACAAAATGATAGTGCATAAATTCAGTACGTCTGAGGTGTCTGTGACATTATCTCCGAAAGCTAAAGAGTCTACCCTAGACGTCCTCTGATTCATTCAATCCTCTTAATGCCCTTCTTGAGAACATGGCAAAACGTGACTGTGATTCTCAGCCCTCTTGTTTTACAACCAGATTTGACTCAACACACTTGATTAATTTTTCAACAATTCCTAAAGCACAACTGTAGTACTTGTATGCCAGCTTCACAATTGAATTGAATTGAATTTCTCTAGATGATATAATTTCCCTCTTTTCCCTAATGCTCTGTTATCCAGTTACCCTAACAAAGTCATTGAAATCACAAACGTCTCTCAACTCCATTCTTGCTTGTCCCCTATTAGTTTTGAGAGCTTGAAGATCTGAAGCCACATTCTTCTTTTTCCACTGTTTTCTCTAAAACTGGCCTGAATTGGTAACTATTTTCATCCTGCTTTTCTACAGTCCAGATAGTAAACTGTAATTGATCTTTTTTGCTGTTCACCAAAGTCCTCTTTCTTCAAAATTGGCACAACTGCTGTTTTTCATCAGTCATCTACTACTGACCCTTCTTCACATTAGTGATTGCAATATTGAGTCTTATGCAATTCCAGTACCCAAAAAAGAGCATCATGATATCTCAAAGTTTGTGATACTGTTGAACTAATTCAAAAGTGAAATACTTAGCATGTATTCATACATTGAGGAACTTCCCTTTAATCCCATGATCCCATAAACTCTGCACAGTTCTATAGCTGCGTAATTTTGTCATTTTTCCAAGATGCCACAGGATTTGCTATTTTTGCATTGACTATTTTGCTGCAGCTGATATTGTGCTCTGTTTTGTATCCCTGCCTCAAAATGCCACTTATTTTCCATTTTTTCCCAACCAGAAAAGCTAGTTAATCATCCGGCAGTAAACTCAGCGTAAAGAGATGGAAAGAGATGGAAAATTGGAACTGACATGCAGTATATACCCAAGAAGTGAGGAGAACCACTCACATAGGCTGGCAAGTTGGTCTCAAGAACAGGGAAGCTACCTTGGACCAGGGCACGTATTTTTCTCATGTTCATGAACAACAACTAAGACATTGGAGAGTATCCTGATTAGATGCTTAAAAAACAGTAATGCTGGGCACAGGGCTAAAACTGTAGACTACCTCTATACTAACAAATTAAACATGGTGCTGAGTTCAGCTGATATGGGATACCCCACTCCATATTACTCTTCAAAACCCGGTGGCCACATCCAGTTTACCTACTGAGAATAGTCCTTTGCTCATGTTAATTCTCAAACTGTGAAGTATGCATTTGGGTCTGGGCCAAAATTGTGTCAGGGAGTTTTAACAATTTAACAGTGTAGACAGTCAAGTGTCATTCTCCAGGTCTATGCCTTGTAGTTTTTCAGAAAAAAAAAAAACATGCTAACGATATCTTTAACTAAAGCAACTTTCTTCAAACAGTCGGTGCTCACTTTTGCAGTTTCCTCCTCTCTTCAGCTGGATGCTGCATAATTAGCTCTGGACTAGAAGTGAATCTGTCAAAATCCATCTTGCGGTTTCATGGAGGCAGAGGTTTTGTTTTTGACTGGCCAGTGTGCTGTTTATTACCCCAGAGGTCTTACTCAGTCGGTCACTGGTGGTGCGCAGTCCAGGGAAGGTCAGAGGATTAGGTGAAGAGTTTGCGCACCTGGGTATTGAGCCTGTACCGGACCTGGACAGAAGGGGGAGAAGTTTGACAAGGCTGAGGAGCACTCCGTATAATTCAGCAAGGCTTTTAATTTTAATTTAATTTTAATTAATGTTTTACGATACTGGCACATAAGTGGTACCACAGTTTTTGAAAAGAGGGTATGCAGTTTGCTCTGCATCACCATTTCTTCTTTTGAACTTAGTCCTGCTAATCTTTACTAGGTCAGCAGTTATATCTATGCCTGACATTTTTATTTTTACTTGTTTCAATACTCTGTTTTTCCTCTAATGCTGAGTACTGATCCTCTAATTGACTTAAATTAGGTAAAGCCTAATCCTGAGGTTTTCTGTCAATTTCAGTTACCCATTTACACTAACTTTATTTCAAAAGTCATATGATTACTTCAGCAGAAATTGAGCAACAAAATTAACATCTGTATTACTAGACTTAAATCTTACAGTGCAAAACCTTAGTAGGGGTTTGTCAGCCTTTCACACACAACTCCTTTTATTAGGAAAAGAGAAAAGATAAAGAAGTGAAAAGGTACCATCTCTGGGGAAACTCCTCGGTTCATAATTCAAACAATTTCATAACCCAGACTTTCTTAGTGACCTATTTATTGAAACCTGTAGATGGTAATATTTCTCACAATTGCATTTTGGTCACTTTGTTCCATTCTTTAAGCATCATTCACTTATATTTTAATGACTTCCACCCTGACATTACCAGTAGGGTCTAATTTTAGAAGTATTTTTAAACGAAATTGTTGATGTTCCAACAGCCCACCTCACAAATGTTTCACGACAACATCCATATGGCCAGCTGTCAAACAGTCTTCGTCAGCCCATCCAAACAGCCCAATCCAACTCAGCCCAAACCCCTACTATTGTGCTACCTAATTGACAAAAAATAAATTTCTTATTTTGTGTCAAATGTATGTCATTACACGTATTCTACTCCCACTTTTGTTATACTAACTAGCAAATTGCCCAGTGCTAATCCTTTGGAGCCCAACTCTTTTCTACCTATGTAACTACAACTGCTAATAACAAGATAGAGATGGTGATGCCAATAGCTACTCTATCTTTGAAGCTGCCCCGTTCATCAAAAATATCTGGAACGCTTGGCTCTCTCTGAATGGCAGAGATTAGCACTTCTGCAAAATGTTCCTTCCCTGCTTCTGGCTCCTTTTCAGCTCTTGTTAATTTACAAGCAATCTTATTTACTTCTTGTATCATCAGCTTGACTGAATTTTCATATAATTTAGGCTTCCCATATGCTATTTGCATAACCTGCTTTCACTTCTTAAAAGTGAAAGTAATTTCTTTTTAATGTCTTTTCAAATTTTTGTATGTTCAGTCTTTAGATTTTTCTATCACTTAACAAATTTACTGATTTGGCTTTCCCAGAAGTCTTGTTTACACATTTCTTTGCAGTATATTTTTGTTATTGCCAGCTCACCTTCTCCTGGTATGTCAGTTCTGCAGTAAAACTTTATCTGCTCTGTGCTTTGCATTACTTCATTAAATATTTTCCATCCAGTTTATACTGTGATTTTTTTTTCTGACTGTGATGAACAAGTATCTCTGTATTTACCTTAAATAGCATGGTAAATGTTTTGAGCTGGCCTTTAAATTGCTTCAGGCTCCAAAGTGAGTAAAGGATGAATCATGCACTGCAGACTAGTCGAGGTAGCTATTTTTGTCAGAATGCCTTCTCGATCTCGCAGAGTTGATTTATTTCGGCAGGGAGTAATGATGGTTACATTCCTTGGAGCTTTCTAAATCACTGGCTCCATTAGAGTAGGGTTTTCAAATCCTGGATTTACTCAGAAGGTTTCTGTCCAAAACTCTAGAACAGGTGGAGGAAATCCAGATACTTCTTCCAAATTTTCTTTAATTTATCCCAAGAGATAGATCTATCTTCTGCCTGATTACCTTGGCCTCTAACTGCATGCATCCTCTTTTAGGCTGCTGTAGTGAACATCCTCATTAATTCCTTGTTCTGTTATATATCATATTTTCAGTCTCTTAGCATCGTTTTTCAGGCTACGTATCAGGAAGGATCTGCCGTGTCCCTATGCTTGGCTTCTCCAGAATGATGCCACTCCTATGTTTTGTGACAAGATGTTCCATGTGCTTTAAATAATTTTGCTGGCAGTCTTCAGTTTGGGGCAAGGGGTTGGCCTGGTTTCTCTCGCTTACTGATCTTCCTCTGATAACTTTTGAATGTTGATCAATGTTAGAAAGTGGGGTTGAAGCTTCAAAGATAAACAGTTCTCACAAATTGGAAAAAATAGAGACTGGATAAAAAAAGAGCAAGAGATTCAATTTTCCACCGTGGGAAAGAAAAGCAGAACTCAGCCTCTTTTTGCGTGGAGCAGCAGCAGCCAAGCTGTCAGCATAAACATCCTGGCCATCTGATCGGTGTAAATATAGCTTCAGCTCAGCCTCTGCCTGATAGTATCCAAACAAACAAACAGGGGAAGATTTGGACTATTGAGCATCAGGACTAAGAAAGAGTCAATTTGTCGGCTTCATTTAATCTGCTGCAAATGGACTTCCTTCTTCTTTTTTCCTTGGCTATCTTTACCATATTTAAATTGTGAGCTTCTGAAACAGTCTGAAGTGTGCCTTGTAGGAGGTCTGTACTGGAAGACCCTTGCCGATGCACAGTATGAATATTTTATAATGACGGTCAGAAAGCCTAGAAAATATTGAATGTCAATGTCATTATGGTGCTTGAAAACCTTGCACTAACAGAAACATAAAGAAATTTTTCAGTCTGTGTATCTATATAGATACTGATGTTTCTTTTCTTGGAAATGATTATCATGAAACTAATTTACAAGAAGAAAATATATTTGTTATGTATAACATTTAATATTTGCTGCATTTCTTATACTCCCTTGAGATTAATTAAGTTTTTACTTGCATACGAGTAAAGAATAGGATCCTTTCTGATGAAGTATTTTGTATGTAAGCAAAGATTTATTTAATCCCAGAACTACTTTTATCCAAAATAAAATATATTATCTAGTACAAGCTAGTCATATCCATGTATCTAGGATTCTTATCTAACTTTTTGAATCATGTAAAGAGTCAATTGTCAGGATACAGAAGAATGCAAAGAAGGGTAGAAAGATTTGTTTTTGTAGGGA